GCCAGCATAATCCCTAGCGACCACCCATACACACTTGTCCTGACACCTACAGGTAGGTGTCCTTCAGCCCCGAAAGGAAATGTCTCATTGAAACTGATGGAGGCCACCACAGAAAACCACAGCCAAACACTATGCAGGGTTGTGGAGCCCAGTCGCAAGGGATAGATACATCTTCAAAACAGCCATACCTAAGGCTCAGGGAACAATGCCAAGAGGGGATGGAATTCCAATTTGGTTCTTCTAGAAGAGCAGTCAGTGCCACCTACTAGAGGCAAGACTTTGCGTTTTTGGGCACGTGCAACTGCCCAGGGACCCAAAAGAGCCTAACAGTTATGAGTCACCTCCTGGGGAAGTGCTGATTGTTTAGAAAGAAGCCGTGGAGCAAGCAGGACAATGACGTCAGCACAGTCCTATTAAAGTCTCCACCTCCCAGTTTCTGGGCACATGGAACCAGTCTGATCAAGGAGGGACAAGCAAGCTACTGAGTCCCGGACAATTGCTGCAGTTCACAGCCCTGCTGCCTGGCCTTTTTTGTGAATCTTTGAGCCACATAGAATCCTAAGCGCTTCTCAGGTTACACTTGTTGCTCAGAGAGGGTATGGCAAAGGATGCAGCCGCCAAGAGCAGTGTTTCCACAGGAGATCTATGTATTTTCGTTTTTCTGAGCTGTCTGAGCTCCAAGCCTTGCGCAGGTGAGTTGCAATGTTCTATCTGAAGGAGGGGGTGTCGGGGCGGCGGGAGGGAGGCAAGCTTGTTGAACTACAAGTAGAGTCCTCCTCTGTCAGCTCTCTAACGTCATGGTTTACAGAGTTCCTTGCCGTGCCCCTTACCCCCAAACAGATGAGCTTTAACAGTTTCTCTAGGAAGACCTGGCCAGTAGAACAAATAAGGAGGGCAAGATGCCAGAGGGAATCCCTGGTGAAGTCCTCAATCCTCACCACACCTTGATCCACAGGAATCCTAAGCCTAGTCCCTAGGCTCCGATTTGATGGGTACAGTGCCAGACTCTGACTGTAGGCTGTCTCAGACTATGGACTTTGCTCTGAGGAGGGTTGATTCTATGCTCTGAAGACTGTCTTCCCCTGGTGTTCTTTGCAAGCCCCCAGCCATCCTGGGACCTCTTTGCCCTCTAACTTTCTTCCCAACATCTCATGGTATTTCTCCAGCAGATCACAATAGGAGTTTCCAGGATCAAGGCAGCCTCAGCCATTCATGTTTCACACATTTTACCTCTGGGTTCTTGTTTTGTTTTAAGGTAGGATTTCACACTGTTTCCTAAACTAGAATTTGCAGTAATCCATTCTCTCCCTAGTCTTGCTGCTGGGAGAGAGAAAATCTGTTTTCTTTAGTGGAATGACACTAGGAATATCAAGCTTTCCAGAGAAGATCTCATGTTTTGGGGTAGTTGACTAATAAATATGCCATGAATAAGGGTGTGTGTGTGTGTGTGTGTGTGTGTGTGCGTGTGCTTTTATTTAATTACAGTTGCGTGGTTTCTTTTGTTTTTTCTTTTTGGGTGATATTGAATTTTATTTGATTTTTTTTTTTAGGTTTTTGGGCACTTGTAGTTATACTTGTTTTTTTGTTTTGTTTTGTTTTTTGTTTTGGAATCAAAAGTCATATGTGTAGGGAGGAAGGAGGAGAGAATTAGGAAGAACTTGAGGGAGGGGAAGATATGATTAAAATATATTTAAATTTTAAAATGGTTTTAAATAATAAAAAGATCTACTTATAAACGCTAGGTATAAACTCAAAGAATGACTTGTATTACATCTAATGCTTGAGAAAACGGGGCTTTCCCTTCCTTCCAGGTCCCCATGAGCACTAACCAAATGCTCTGTCCCTGAGCCAGGGTCTCCTCATCAGGACCAGCAATTGCCAATAGCTACAAGTTCTTAGATGGGCTTGTGATATAGAGGCAAAGCGACATGATTCCAATAAAGCTGCTGAGAGACAGAAATGACAGGTTTTAAAAAATGTAGTGTTTAATTTTGATGTTCTTGTGGATTTCTCTTTTTCTTCTGCCCTGGGAAGGCAGCTTTCAGACTCCTCCTCATCTGATTTGTCTTTAACTTGTGAAGTCCAGCCACATCTGGGTTGTCCATCTATCTATCTGCATTTAAGATCCTTGTGATATGTTAGCCATGTACCCCTTACACAGTCAGACCTCAGGCTGTTCCTTACTTACTTATGCCTCAGTGGATCTCTGTCCTTGGTGTTACTGCTCCTGACAGTTTAACCTGATGGGGTATTTCTGTACCTTATTTGCTGGGATTCAGGAATACAGTCTCCTAACTCCACCCCCAGCCTTGAGCCATCAGCATCAGTCCTGAGCTTCCACCAATGCTGGTGTCCTTCTCCCTGGTCATTCTCATTATGCTTCTCAGCACTGCAGCTCCCGCATCCCACAGAGGAGCAAGCACACTGCACATTTCCCAGAATGCTTTGCTGTTCCATCCACTCTGACACATGAATGTGCTAAGATTTTCAACACCACTCTTCTACTACCAGACTGAACTATCCTAGGTTTTCTCTTGTACTAAGGGCCATCCTCTGACCAGTTCCAGGAAAGCATCTCCAGAACGCTGCATTGGGACCAGGAGATGTGGAACTGTGTTGTCCTAGGTGCTGTGATAAAACACTCTGCAACTAAAGGAGGAAACAGGTTGCCTTGCTCAGAGTTCTGTTGCTATGTAGAGACACCATCACTATGGCAACTCTTGCTAAACAAAGCATTTTATTGAGGCTTGTTCATGGTTCCAGTGGTTTAATTCATTATCCTCTTGGAGTGGAACATGGTGGTATGCAGCCAGACATGGTAGATGATGGTTCTATATCCAGAGTCAAAGGCAGCAAGAAGCAAGAGTCTCTGGTCTTGGAATGGGAGTTTTGAAATCTCAAAGCCCTTCCCCAGTGACACACTTCCTCTATTAAGGCCACACCTACTCCAAAAAGGATACACTCCTAATCCCTCTTAGGTAGGGCCATGCCCTAATGATCAAGCACTCAAATATTTCAGTTTATGGTGAATATTCTTACTCAAACCACCACATTGTACTCTGTGGCTCCCAGAGGCTTGTAGCCATGACATAATGCAAATATGCATTCAGTCCAGTTTCAAAAGTCTCCACAGTCTCTCAGTCTCAACCCATTTCAAAGCCCAGAGTTCAAGGTCTCTTTTGAGACTCATGGCAACCTCTTCACTGTAACCCCCTGTAAAATTAAAATAAAAAAGCAGACCCCAAACTTCCAACCTAATATGGCACAGAATATGCATTTCCATTCCAAAAGGGAGGAGATGGAACACAGTGAGGAACTACTGGGCCAAAGCAAGATGGACGACCAGCAGGTCCAACCTCAAACCCTGAATCTTCATGTCTGATGTCAAAGTGCTCTTCAGAACACCAAATCCTTTCAGCTTGCTGACTGCAGCAGACTTCTATCCCTCTTGCTGGTTCTCCACCTGTCAGCCGATCTCCTCGGCAGGTGTCCCATGACTCTGTCATCTTTGAAATCTTGGGGTCTGGAATGAAATCCAGGGTTTACCTTCACAGCTTCACCCAATGGCCTCTCCTGGCCTCCATACAGGGACATACCTGACATGGAGATTCCACACCCCCTTCTTGTATCCTTGACTCTAAAGCCAGAACAACATGGCCAAAACTGCCAAGTTTTTCTACTTAGTTAGGCTAGAACTTGGCCCATCAATCAAATAGAGTGTCATCAGCTTTCTATATTTGATAGTTTCCTTCATTAGTTAGACATCTCTTTCCCTAAGGCTACAACTCTTTTTATTTCTTTTGTAAGTGAGCTTTTCTTTCTTTTTTTCTTTTTTTTTTTCTTAGCTCATTGAGCACTGAACTTTGTGATTACACTGCCTGGTACTCCCTTTTTTGCAAACTGCATATTTTGTATTTTTCTCTGGTCAGCTTGCCCCTTTTCATTACAGTTCTGCATAAGAGTGACCACTAACAACAGGACACAGGAATACAAAGATGTCTTGAAATCTATCTGCCAACGCCGTTAATCCCAAAACTCTTCAATTTACCCTTAAACAGTTTTTTGATAGCTTTTTTGTTTCTGTTTTGTTTTGTTTTTTTGTACAGGGGAAAAAGACAACACATTTCTTCACCAAAAGATCACAAGCATGGACTTTAGGCCAGTTAATAATGTTTTTCCCTTCTGAAATCTTGAGCCAAGCTGTCCTAAACTATACTGCTCTAGGCACCACTGTCTTCCAGGCCTATTCACCCCCACTTAAAATGTTCAACCGCTTTCCTACCCTGAGTCCTGAAGCCTACAGTATGCCCACAATCATCATGGCCTGGCCTGTCACAGCAATGCTCCATTCCCAAGTACCAACTTTTATCTTGGTCAGTGTCCTATTCACTCTCAGAGACAGTGTCCATTGTAACTTTTATAAAAGAAAACATTTAATTGGGATTTGCTTACCATTTCAGAGATTCAGTCCATTTTTCTCAGGATGGGAAGCATGGCAGCACACAGGCAGATATGGTAGCTCAGAGTCCTACTTTCCTACCTAAGGGCAGCAAGAAGAGAGAGACTCTGGGTTGGAAATTGGTTTTCAAACGTCAAAGGCTAGCTCCAGTGATACTTCCTTAGATGAGGCTACAATTACTCCAGCAAGGCCACACTCCTAATTTCATTACTCATCTCTGTGACATGTGGATTTCTCTGGGCCTTTTTACACATGCCCTTCACTACAAGCTTTAGAGGTTCTGGATTTCGTATTTCATGTAGTATGGTCCAGCCTCTGACCAGGTTCTTTCAAGCCATTCCTGTGGCAAGTAGGCATTATCTCCAATAAGTTCTGTTTGCTGACCACTCAAAGTCCTGTGTGTCCAAAGCCTGAGGAGAAAGTGGAGGTAAAAGTGCCTGCATCACAACAGTGAGAACCTGAGCTGGTGCCTAGAACTCATGTATAAGATCCAAGTGTGGTGCTGTGTGCTTTCATTGTTGGTACTAAGAAAACTGAGGCAGGAGAAGCCTGGGTCACTGGAAAACCTGTCTCCTCTACTTGATGAGTCCCAAGCATCTTAGAGACCTTGTCTGATCAATACTACTGTGGCTCACTTGTAAGAGGAGATATATATATATATATATATATATATATATATATATATATATATGTATATATGGTGGTCTCTGTGTAAAAATACTTCTTTTGTCATTATCATCATTACTATTATCATTATCATTTTATTATTTATTGGCATACATATATGTAAGTCAGAAATAATTTCTTTATTAAGTTTCATTATCACTGTTCCTCATTTAGCAAAACCAGTTTCCTTTAATAAACTTCTAAGTGGATCTCCTTACAGAAAACTATTGGGCAATTCACCATCTTAGAGCTAAGTTTGTGACATTTAATTCACAACCACAAATCAATTCTCAGCTCTGGGGGCTCACTTCATCTCCCCCGAACTCTTCTGATGCAGTGTACTTAGTGAGAAGGAATCCCAGCCTCTCAAGGACAGATTCAAACCTTAGGAGAGATAGGCTAGAGAATGTAGAGTGGGGGAAATAATGGAGATAGGAAGGAAACAGATAAAAGAGGCAGAGAGGAGAAGGGAAGAGGAAGATGGAAGGGAACAGGAAAGGAGTCCTCAAACCTGCATCAGTCTACCACATAGCAGGAGGTCCGGGGATGGAGAAGGAAAAGAAGATTGTTTGTGTTTTAACACCCCTTTTGCATTTTTACTGTAATTATATTGCAAACTTACTAAAAGTTCCTTTAATAAATTATTACTTAATTTTAAATTCTAGTGCCCTCACACACAAACACATGACAGTAAATATGTGCAAGCCTCACTAAATCTTACCTGCTTCCTTGTGCAGTCTGCTTTACAGGATAGATCTATGGTATTGTGACCTCTTTAGCCATTAGTGAAAGTCTGGGAGACCAGGGGTCATAAGTTTGCTGGGAAACAAAGACTTAAGAGGAGATAGATTGGGGCTTCAAGCAGGTCAGAAACAGACAGAGGTCTCTCCCTGAGAATGGATTAGGTGTGTGGTGTAACATGAGAGAACCTGAGATCGGATGCTCAATAGTGTTGTGTGAAGGGGCCCAGTGGGAACACAGATGAGCACTGAGCTCACAGCTGGCAGCTCCCCTTCCATGCCAATCCGCAGCATTCCTCCAGGAGCTTTCCTGAGCACCAGGCTCCATGTTGGATTTACGGTGTGTTCTATGATGCCTCCCTTTCCTCTGTGTGTTCAGCTAGATTTTCATCCTCAGGAACATGGATGCTGTCTGACATATTTTATACTTCAGTACTTTGATAACAGTCACTAAAAGCCCTTACAAGATAAATCTCCCAGGTGACACCATGTACTCTAACCTAACCTAACCTAACCTAACCTAACCTAACCTAACCTAACCT